GGTTGGTGGTGGCGTCGTCGCCGAGGGCGGTGCCTGGGGCTGCGGGCGGTGCGGGGGCTTTCAGCCGGCTGGATGACGGGGAGGTGCTGCGGCGTGTGGCGCTTGCGCGCAGCGGCAGCATTACAGGCCTCCTGAGTGGAAAGCTCCTGATAAACAAGCAGCAGCAGCAACAGCAGCAGCAGCAACAGCAGCAGCAGCAACAGCAGCAGCAGCAGCAACGCGGCGCGGCGGGCGACGGCAGCCCCGCCGCCGCCGGCGCCGCCGCGCTGGCGGCATCGGCGGCGGCGCCGTCCGCCCCGCGCCGCAGCGGCGGTGGCGACGCGGCTTCTGCGGCAGAGGCCTGTTCGGAGGCCGCCGCGGCGCACGTGTGGGCCGGCGAGCGGCCGGGCTCTCATGGCAGCGGCCCCGGCGGCGGCGGCCCCAGCAGTGGTGGGGGCGACGCGATACAGAAGCAGCCTCCGGTTTGCTCTGGCCAGCCCTCGACCTGGAAGGTCCGGGTGCGCGCCTACTCCTCACTGCCGGCCGCCCCGCAGCAGTAGCTGCGCCGGCCGCCGCCGGCCTTTGAGGGCGGCGAAGGGCGGCCCCGCAGCAGCCTCCGCCTTGGACGCAGGTTTCGCAGCGGCGACCACGGCTGCAGGAGCCCCGGAGGCTCCCGCGTCCGCAGGTGCAGCCGCGAGGCCCGGGCGGCGTCACGAGCGGGGACGCCGCGTGTATGACAAATGTACGCACATCCACTGTCAAGCCGGCAAGCAACGAGGGCGCGTGCGCGCCCCGAGCCGAGCTGCGGCGGCTGAGACGGCCGGCTGCCCCGCCACCAAGCGGCGGCGCCCTGCACGCAGATCCGCTCAACAGGCGGGCGCACGCGCGGGGGCGCCGCCGGGCGCGGGCAGCTGGCGCCGCCGAGCTCCTTGCCTCCTGCCACGCGCGGGCGCCTTGGCAGCGGCACTAAGAGGAGGGACCCAAGGGGCCGGGCACGCGCGATGAGGGATCATATTCTGGGGGATCAGCCGGGATACCTCATCCAAAAGGGGACAGTCGCAGGGGTCTTGACCCGGCAGCCGAACAGGCACGCTAGGGGCACGCACGGCGTCTGGGCGGGTGCTGAGCCAAGCATATGTGTCCCTAGACCGATTTTGCCCCAGTCTCGCGGGAGGGGCCCCACCTCGCCTCTTTTGAGGACACGGCCCGCCCTCTCTCCTTGATCGCCTTGAGTACTACATGCGCCGGCTGGCTGCCCACCCTCTGAAAGGGTGGGAATCACTGTTTGGGCCGCTTCTCTTGGCCGCGCTGCCGCGCTCAATCGCTCTCTACTGACTTTGGAAGCCCTGCACACACTGAATGCGCGCTTGCCCTCAAAAGAGCTAAGCGGCGCCGCCTCCACATGGCCCTGCTTCAACCAGGCATTCCATAAATATGAGTTGCCACGCAACGGCACCCCTTTTTGACAGCGGCGCGGTATGTAGCTCCCCCTTTGCTCGCAAATAGATCACACGCAGCTCGCGTCTCGTGCGCGCAGACGCAGAGCGCCGACGGGATGAGTGCAACCGCCAGCCACGCACGTTCACAGCCAATGAGCGCGCTGCCCCGTCGGCTGCCACGTGTGCAGATTCTGGGGCGTATCGGAACATGGGATGTGCGGCTTTCCGGCCGCTTTTCAGCTGCCCGATTGTTTTCTGCAAATAGCAATTTGCGGACCCACAACCCGTCTTTTATTGCTTTATTGTAACAGCCGCGGCTTTGCTGTGTTGCGCACGCTGGAATCGTGTCCCTCCTGACACCTCAGCACATCTGTTGCCAAGGCGAGGCGTGAATCCGAGGTCGCCCTCAGCTTTGAAGGGCTCTGGATGGCAGGCATCGTCAGGCCTAACACCAGGCAAGACACCGCAGCACATGCAGCAGAGCGTATGGGTTAAACCCCTGGCATGGCTCAACCTTGCAAACAGTGCACACCAGCCTGCACGTCTGAAGACAGACGCCTGAGCCGACAACAGGCCAGCAGCATTTCCATTGCCAGCATCTGTGTTGGCGAATGGCGGGGGTCACAAGAAGCGGGGAGCGACTCCCCTTGGAGGGCACCCAATACAGGCCGGTGGCAGTCGCTGGCCGGCGGCCCACTCCGGAGCGCCCCTCCTGTTGATGAGCGGCTGCGCTCGTCGTGGACTGACTTGCCTGGTGATCGCTCGGCTGTCATGTGAGGGGTGCCAAGAATGAGCATGCGCTATTCGCTGGTGTCACTGCGCGGTAGGGAACAGACGTGGATTGGACCCTTGCAGCGCCGGACGCGATTCAGGGGCACGGCGGCCCTGGGACGGATCCGTCACAAGCCGCCATTTTGGTCTCTTCAGTCAGCAATTGCATGGGGCCAGGTGCGAGCAGCTTGTTAAGGGCTCGCCTTTTCTGTGGTTGCGTTACAGTCATGGGGGGCTTGCCACACGGTGAATCAGGCCTTTAGTGCAAAGCCACAACCCGAGTGCGTACCCCCAAGCCGCGCCACGCGGCAATGGGGGAGGGCGGATCGCATCTTGGCGAGGCGCTCTGGACGCCAAAAGTCTGACGTCACCCGACATGCTGCGGCAAAGCGCGCTACGACCTCGCCCTGGCATTCACATGGGTTGCTCGGCTGCGCGCAACTTTGACAGATTGATGTAAAAATTGTGCTGGATCCATGTCGCAGCAACTCAGCCATGCAACTTTTCGAGTACCGCTAATCAACCGCCCATCATGTGTGATCACAGTGCTGTGACAGTCACCGACAATGCACCGGCCACAGCGTCCAGCATGCACGAGTGCAATGAAGTGACCTGCCAGCCGGTGAGTGACATCAGTTGATCTTCACAAGCGCATGTCTGACGCGTAAAGCTGCCGATGTTGAGCACAGTTGTGATCTGCATGCCCAGATCACTTTGACCCATTTTAGATGAACCCTGGATGTAACATGCAAGATAACATCCGCTCAACTTCCTGATCAAACAACTATAATGTATACGTCGCACGAGACTGCACGCAGCAAGCGGGACGCTCGGAAAGGCACGCACCCCGCCAGAAGGATTTGAGTCTTGCGAGGTCATTATCTAATTTTTCACCAAGGGCCATCTGCGGCAGCGCCGGCACCGTGGCGCGCCCCAATCGCGCGCCGCACACTGCCTCGGCAGACGCTGACGCAGGCGCCATGGCGCAACCTGCGCCGCCGCGGCAGCAGCCCACGGTGCTCGACCGGCTTGGAACAGAGCTGGTCGCACACATCGCATCCTACCTCGCTGCCCCCCTCGACCGCCGCTCCGCGCGGCTCGCGTGCGCGTCGCTGCGCCAAGCGGCCGACGACGCCGTCTCGCGCCTCGCGCCGGGCGCCGGCGGCGGCAGCGGCGGCGCCGCGGCGCTGTTGCTCCTGGCGGAGCGCGGCGCCAGGTGGCGGCGGTTGCGGGCGTTGGCATTAGAGCTGGACGCGGAGGCCTGCTGTGGCGGCGGCGAGTCTGGCCCAACCGCGATCCGGCTGCTGGAGGCGGCGCCGCGGTGCGCTGGGGCGGCAGCCGCGCGGCAGCTGCACACGCGACGCGCGCCCGCCGCCCGCCCGCGGACCTGCCGCACACGCCACGTCACCGGCGCCGCTGAGCGCCCGCCGCACCCCTCGTACCCAGCCGCCGCCCACGCTTGCAACCCGTGTTTACGTACCGTGCCCACTCCCCTGCCCCCACCGGCCCCCTTCCCAGACATTGGCCCGCGCTCGCCCGCCTGCAGCTGGCAATCGGCCCCCCAGACATGTTCGCCCCCCTCGTGCGCCGCGCCGCCGCCCTGACCGCGCTCCGCTCCCTGTCGCTCTCGGCGGGCGGCGACCTATCAGCGGCGGCTGCTGACCTGGAGGCAGTCGCGGCGCTGACAGCGCTGACGGCGCTGCGGCTGGGCTGCGCGGCGGAGCAGCGGCCGCTGGACCTGTCACCGCTCGTAGGCATGGTGGGTGGGCCCGCTGTCCAACTTGGGCCAGCGAGCCGGCCTTGCATTGGATGCGGTCATGGTTTCATACTGTGTGTGTATGCCCTTTGTGACGTGTATCTAGTCATCTACATGTATGTAGACATGTCTTTGATACGGCAGCCCCAGCACCTGCTTTAGCAGTTGCATGCAATACATCTCCTCAGCAACCGCCTGCGCAGCGCGGGCCGGCGCCCGGCGGCCAGCGGGGGGCGCGCGGCGCGGCGCGCGCGCGTGCGCGTGCAGGCCGCGTGCGCACTAGCAGCGCGGCAAGCGGCGCCTCTCTCCTTCGGCCGCGTCGAAATGCACTCCAGCCCAGCCCAGCCCACGAGGCCCAGCTCAGCAGTGGGGCAAGCAGACCCTAAGAGTGTCCCCTTGCGCCTCTGTGCGCCCCTTTGATTCGTGCGCCGCTCTCTTGTCGCACCCACACAGCCGCCACCGTCAGTAGCTGATCTGAGGTGATGATCACACCAAAGTTCATCGACAATAACAGATCTGAGCAACCCCAATTCACCTTGTCTAACCCTCAGCACACCTAACCGAACCCAACCGCCCCTACCCGCGCCCCCCCCCCACAGACCGCC